GTCTTGCAAATTTAAATTTCACCTGTGAAAAATGTTAAGAAAGCACATGACCTTGGTGGTCTTTTCAGAAAAGAGTTTAAACTTGAAAGGTCATATCATTCAAGCAGATGCAAATATTGACTATTTCGAAAGCGCATTTAATAAAATATAATAAAGAATTGATCATTCGATATGTGCTGAACCAGAAACATAAAGTCACATCTTGTAAACACGTAAGTAGTATTGTTCACAATAAGGACATAGATACAAAAGAATCGTTTTCTAAAGCAGTAAAATAAAATTGAAGATGAAATTATCGTTTTGGATCATGTGCATTGTTCATTTGTTTTCACTGAAACCTTCTTTCGATAAGTAGTAAAATTCGTTTCATGTAGATATTTCAGTGACATAAAATGAAGAGAAATGTGTCATGCCGAATTCCATTCCTAATTTAACTGCTGAACAACTGTGATGAGACAAAAAGAAAGAAAGAAAAATTCAAACTCATGGAGCATCTTTCCACGCTCCATTCGCACATTTCTTCTCTCCACTGCGCGAGGGTTGAAAATGTCGATTGTTTGGTTGCGAATAAATAATTTTTCTGGCCCTTTTGAAAGTGAGTACGAGTTAGGGAGAAGACAAAACAGAAATTTTCACACATAACACAATCTTGTAAGCTTCCAGAATTCGATACTCTACCGAACCATCTTCTCCGCCAACTGCCTCCTTATTTATTGTTAACTGAAAAGAACGTGTTTTGAATGTTTACTCCAATTTTCCATATTAATGCCACTGTTGTTGCCACTGATGTCAATTTTTCTAACACATCATTTCTTTTTGGGACTCGTTTTCGGATGATGGGAGAATTTCAGAATACCAAACACCTACTACTGTGAAGATAAACTGAGATACTAAACGTTTCACACTGCCGCCATTACCTAATGATGCATAATTTACGAGGAAGACGATAATTTTTTTCTCGCATTCTTTCCTCAACTTCTGAACTTTCGTTTTCTTGTAAAACATAAAATATCTAATGATATCAATAATAATAAAATTGTATTAAAGCACGCAGTTGCAAAAAAAAGGTGTTACAAGTAGTAAATTCAAGTTTTATCATGAATGTAAAGTTATCACGTCGTACTTTACATATAGATTTAAGTTTTAGGAAAAGCATTGATTGTTAAATATTAAAACGATTAGACATTGAATTCTGTGAATATTCATTTTGTTATGAAAACAAAAACACATTTCTTGAACGATCTTGCATTACTTCTGTAAATAAATCCACAAACTTAAGGTTTTACAAGCTTCTCAAAAACCCTTTCACACCCACTTAAAGCTTTCACTGCCGAAGTTTTCCTTCATAACGAAACTAATTGCAGAAACTATCGTAAAATGTCTTATTTTAACGACACCAACTTGTAAGCGTTTTTCATAGCTTTTCGTTCCCACTCTCCTTCCTCACACATAAAATATATTTTTCGTTGTAGAATGGTTGCTTTTCTACGCTTCTAGAATGCTGATGATACATTAGAAAACAACTTTTACATTTCCAATGAGACTATAAAGAAAGAAACACATAAGCACAACAACAAGTCAGCAATGATACGTAAGAGAGAAAAATGAAGACGATGTGAAACATATGCGATGAAATTTTCAGAAATGAACTTAAACATTTTATTGCGAATTGAATTTGATTAGATGCTAACGAGCTATGATCTTCGAAGGGATTTAGGAAATTTACTAAACTTATACGGTAAGAGCTGCTAAACATTCTCAATCTTATCCAAATATATCGCTTGTTTTTGCAATATCAACAAAAGTTTTTTATCGCATTCACGCGCGTTGGCATTGAACCCACAAAGTCATTTCTTTTCTTCCGCTGCTTCAACTGCCAACACGAAGAAGAAATTTTTATCTCATTATGCGACTTTCTTCCGTCTTCTATCGCTTTTCTGTTGCTATGAAAATCTTGTCACATCTCCCCGAAAAAAAAAGAAAGAAAAGAAAAGAAGGGCGAAGTGTAAAGAAGAAGAAAATTAGATGAAGCAAACAAGCTTCAAGCTTTTATGTTCTTTCCATCTACGCTGCTGCAAAATTATGTTTCAGCGTCTCATAGAACTCACAAGAGCTATGGAAAATGCATGAACGAAAATTGCACGTACATGAATAAAATGATAATTTTATGACACATCAAAGTGAGAAAAACACGTTTCGGTAGATTATGCAAGAGGAGCCAATCGTGGGTGGAGTGAATCTCGTAAATTACAGACAAGAAAAAATGGAGAAAATAAGCAACAAAGAACTCATAGTCAAGATAAATTGCCCACAAGGCAGGCGAGTAACTTGCTTTAATGCTTGTTAATTTCATTTAAAGGCGCATTGTTTAATGTTGAAACAAAATGTTTTTTTTTGCCTTCATGTTCAAAAGCCAAAGAGTGCCGCACACCGACATTGAAAGACTGGGGAGAATAACAAAGAAATGGAAATGGAACTCAACTAATAAAATGAAATTACGTACCATAAAAAAGCAAATAGACGCAAACACAATTACAGAATGAGTGGAGAATTCTGTTCTTAACAGTGAATTTTCTTTTTTTCTATGCTGAAGGGTTGCTTAATCTATTCTAGAATATTTCAACTTTCTTCCTTCATTCATCTATTTTGAAAAGCTATGCTTGAAAAAAATTTCGTAAGAGTTGTTTAAATGAATGAATGACACAAGTAATCCCACTGTAACATCTCCCACCCTATATGAAGTCATTTCGCATTTGTTTTCATATAAATATATCTTCCTTCTCGTGTGAATGCTGTGCCATGATGATGATGATGGTGCACGGTCGAAAAAGTGACATTGAAAAAGTCTATTATGTTCAACAGAAGCAGAATTTTATTTTTCGTTACTTTACTATTTATTCTCTGTTTGTTTTCGCTTCTCTTGATGTACAGTGAAACGTAGTCCAATGGGCATGATTCCGGTTGTTTTAAGGATAATCCAATTGTGATGTTCGTCATGTTGCTTTTTATTTTTATTATGTTACTCTTGTTTCTATTTTTTCCTCTATACGAATTAAATACGTCAGCTAGTTGCACATGAGTGGATGGGAATGTTTGTCTATTAAACTCCATCATCCGTTGACATGTGATGGGCATGGGATGATATGTGCAATTGGATTCAGTCACGCACGAACATTGCCTTACTTGCTGTCAATTTCTCTTCTAATTTCTTTCTTTCGCTATTGAACTTTGAGTTGTTAAACGATTTTCAATTCGGTCATCAGAATAAGTATAAACAGCTTTATTATTTACATTTTTTCATTTTCATTGTACATTCACCTTTAACAATGTAGAAGTTATTCAAGTCTCTCAACTACAACTGTTTCAGTGTCATCAGAAGATTAGAATAGTACAAAGAAGTTATTAAGATGACAATGTTTTGAATTGCACTAAACAAGAAAAGAAAATTGTTTCAGTATCTGAGAGAAAATGAAATTGGAAAGATATAGAAAAGTTTGAGATGCAGCAGATGGTTCATGAATGCCATCAGTGATGGTTCAAGCACGGATGAGAGCGATGAGAAGATGAAAGTAGTAGAATGAGTGTACGTGTCTCGAATCAACCCCATGAGAGTGATTATCCCTGATTTAGAGTTTCACGTTTCTTTTGATTCCCATTTTAACTACGAAAAAAAAACTCTGAACGCGGAAAAATGTATTTTCATTGGAGAAAATCTCTTTTTTTACAGCCTTATCCAGTGGATGCTTTCAGGCCAAAAATAAACGTAGTGGAACAAAGCGATGTTGCCCTCGATACCATGCATCATCATGGCACTACATTTTCACTTCTGAACTAATGGTCTTGCTCCTGGTGACAAGCAATGCCTTTTTCCCCTTTCATTTACCAACATTTTTTCCAACATTTTCCATTCTAAAAGAATTAAAGCTTTTTTATTTATCTCTCTCGACTGCTTCCGTTATTGCAACATCGTTGGTCATTTAAACAGTCTGCTATGTTGCTTCGCTTTAGTGACAATTTATAAATATAATACAATAGAGAGTAAGTTGAAATAAAAGAGTTGAATACGTCCAACACCAAATTAATTAATGCCTTTGAGATGAGTGAGAATTAATGTATAAAATTATTTTTATTATTTTTCTCACAAATATTTTATTAAACCAAAAAAGAAATAAACAAACTTAATGTTTTTACTTCCAATCTGATGTCAATTTATCGATTTGATCTCTAATCGCATTACCATAAACGATTGTAAGTATTTCCAAGGTTCTTTCATCCTGCTCGATGCTGATTACCCAAGAGNTAGTTGTAGAAAACATTTTAAATCGATAAAAAATAACTCAAAAAAAACATTAATTTATGTAGTTCTATTAATAAAACTCAATGAAATATTTTATAAATATTATTTCCTTTATTAAAGGCATAACTATAAAGCATAGTTAAGTTTATGAACAAATTTCACGTTGGTTTTCAAAGACAGAAACTGCACAACAACACAAATAAAAAACCGATGGAAGAATTTTGTAAACTTTCCTTATGATGAACAGAAGGAAAAGCTCCGAAGGAAGCGAAAATGCACGTAGAGAAATAAAATGATAATTTTATGACACATCAAAGCGAGAAAAACACGTTCCTGCAAGATGCGTACAAGCGTGAAGCGTCAGAGCGAATTTCATTTTGCTGCTCGTTCTAAGGTGAAACTTTCCCTCCAGCAAATGCTTAACACTTGTTAATTTTGTTTTCTTCGCGAAAACACATTTGCTACCGGCACAAAGAAAAATAAACTGATAAACAACAGCACACAAAAAAAATAAATAAAGCCAAGAAAATGAATGAAACTAATAAAATGAAATTATGCTTTCATAAAAAAGCGCAAAAGGAATTTGCTCATGTTTTCGAGTAGAGATGGAAAGAGCACAGGAAAAAAACTTTTCGCTCGTGTTGATGGAAATTTCATTATTGCGAAAGTGGATTTGTGTGAAATGGCTGCGCTAGGGAGAATAAATGCGCACTGTGGAAATTTGATTCCCGAACAAAGTTTGGCGGTTAAGAAGTACACAAATGGACTTGGAGTTGTGAACAACTACAAAAGTCAACACGACATACGAGCAACCTGAAACTCAATTATCTATTGACATGTGATGCGATGATGTGTGCAATTGGATTCAGTCACGCACGAACGTTTCTGACTATTTTTCATTTAAAACTCTCTTTTTGTCAGAAAATAAATTGAGATAAGAAATTTTCCTTCATTTTTGTGCTTGATCAATCGAATGATCATAATTTGGGAGATAAACAATTTTCCTTTCTTTTCATTTTCTAAAATTCCTGAATGCATTTTCACTCTGTAAAACACTCAAATATTTCGTCAGCATTCTCATTCCCACCCAAACATGATGACAAAAAGAAAACTTATCATAAAATTCGATTTTTCTTTTCTTACATTTTCCAAACTATCGCGAATTTTTGTTTTTTTTTCGTCAAAGATGTTGAAAAGAAAATTGTTTGCAAAATGAGAAGTAAAGAATAACGCAAAGTTTGAGATGTAGCAGATGGCTTTTAAATGCCATCAGTGATGTTACAAGCACGAACGAAGTCGATGGTGAAGATAGAAAACAGTAGAATGATTGTACGAGTACGTGTCTCAAGTCGACCCCACGAGAGTGATTATCCTTGATTTAGAGTTTTTACATCTGCCCGCTTTTTTCCCTTAACGCATAGCGATACATTTTCATTCTCTGCAAAATAAGATACAGAAAACTACCTACATGTGTGCAGATATCTACATCATAGCAAACCATTTCGATATTTTCCAACGTTACCTGCACCATTAAAACAAATATTTTCAATACGGAAATGGACGAGGAAAAGATTGAAATCTGAAAGTGTTTATTAATGATGATTTGAAGCGGAAACTAAAGTTCAAGTTAAATATTTAATTTATTTGAAAACGATCTGAAATATGAAGTTAAAATTCGCTTCCTCTGCCACATAAATGGAGAGAACATAAGTATAAGAGGAAATTTCAACTTTTTATGATTTAATGACATGAGTCTTGATGACAAGTAATAAAAAGAGTTTTTCCAAAGTCCTTTCAACACCTTGACTACGTGCTAGTCGACTCGAAATGTTCACAACGTTTTCAGATTCCCATCAGACGATTGTTTGCAAGCATTGAAAATATTTTCCAGAATCTAACAGTCTCCTGTGAGACTCCCAACATAACAAACAAAAAAAAAGCATGAAAAAATGGAAAATTCTTCAAAGCGAAGGCGACAAAAATTTCAGTTCGCAAAACTCAATTAATTAATGGCTTTAGCACAATGTGACAATGTTTGTAAAAAATTGCTTTCGAATAAGGTTTTCTCGTCTCTTCGTGCTTTTCAAATTGGAAAGTTGTGAATTCTGAGTACGAGGTGTTGGTTCGTTAGTTGGACAACTTTTGAGTTGTTAATAAATGGAAAGAAATTTCGTGGAAGTTATCAAAGCTTTTGAAATTCTTTAAACCAACTTAACTGCAGATGTGACAAAAAATTTCTGAGACTACAAATAAACTCCAAAGTCAATTTATCGATTTGATCTCTAATCGCATTACCATAAACGATTGTAAGTATTTCCAAGGTTCTTTCATCCTGCTCGATGCTGATTACCCAAGAGAAAATCCATTTTTGTTTGTTGGAGAATTCTGAATGGTGGATTTGGGGAATGAGAGAGTGAAATCGAGTACTGCAACAATTTATGTCTTTCCCGATGTTTTCCTTATCGATGGTGGTGGTGCTAGGTAGATTTCCTTGATTCTTTTCTTCCGTTCATCGAGTTGAGATCTCAGTCGAACATTTAAATAAATTGACGTTTCTCATGTTTTTTCCCGTTCACTTCTGAGGCCTTCGACTAGACTTCTTGAAAATAATCTTAAAAATTATGCCGGCAAGAAAGGATCGAATCTACATAGATCGCATTACTTTTCTTCCTTTTCGTGTGTTCTTGGTGGCTTGGGACTAAATTAACATCCTAAAAGGCAAAAGTAAATATTTTATCTACATTGGAATGAGAAAATTCAATTCAAATCCTCAGATTCTTTCGTTCCAAAATGAATTTATTTGAATGTTTCTCAAGTTGATAAACATTCCACTTTAATTCATTCGATGATAAGTTCACTAACAAGCACAATATAACTCACTGGGTTAAGGAAAATAATTTCATTTATCGGTTATCAACAACTTTTGATCTCAATTCGTATTCAAAATAAATTGAAGGAAAAATGTAATAAATTAAGCAGGGAAGCAACAAGACGCACAAGGACATGCCACGCCAGAGAGTCGACAATTTCGATGAAAAAACAGCACAAACGAATTTCATAATTTTTCAATTTCTATGCATATCAATCATAATCCGGAGAGATGTATGCAAAATAAGATAAAAGCAGAAGTGAAGAATAATTCAAGTAGTGCTTGGACATGCTCTGAAATTGTGAAACGACATCAAAATCGAATAAAAGATGAAATATCATTGCAGATATTCAAACTCATACTTCATCATCATCTTCATGATATGATTAAATGCGTTTTGTCAAAGAACTTATTTTTTATCCTTAATATTTCATGAAATGTTTAAATTATTATTGAAGAAAGATATTCTTGTCTCGTGAACAATTCATCGCAGATGCCTCAAAAATTCTCACATTAATGAAAGAATAACAACTCATGAAGCTTCAGTAATCTAACTTCACATCATT